GACCCCCCCCCGCGGCCCTGGTAGCCTGTGGCTGGCCAGTGCGTGGCCCCCTCCCTCTGCCACCTTGACGGGTCTATTGCCACGAGCATGTGGGCTGGGTGCGAGCTCCTGTGCCACCCAGCTCGGTGGACCCCAAAACAAGGGTCCAAACTGCTGTGCAGTCGGGATGGGGAAACTGAGGCAGAGGGTTGCCAAGAGCAGAGCTCAGAAAAGCTCTGCCCAGCTGGACTGTGCGGATCGAGCCTGTTTTTGGTTTGGGGTCACGTGCTGGTAATGGTTTCCTGAGACCAAATTCAGACGGCGGTGCAGGGGAGAGCACAGCGGGTTCCGGTGGCGATGGTGATGGTGGTGGCACGTGCTTGCAGCCTGGCGCACGCAACGATGAGCCGCGGGTCTGCAGCACGCCTGGCTGGTTGGTTCCTGCATTAGCCTGAGCGTTTTCTGTGACCTAGAAAACTCCAGCTGGCGCACACGAACCACTGTGCTCCTTTATTTTATAATTCATCTAAGAACTCCAGGGAAAAGATTGAACTGGTTAGGCTCCCTCTACATCAGATTGACCATCAAAAAATACAACCGCCCTTATTCCTGCTCTGGAGCTGCGTCAGGGCCTGGGGCTGGAGGGGACTGAAGTCGTGGCCGTTTTCTCCACTGTCGGTCCTGAGGCTGGTGAACAACTTGGGCTGCTGGATGCACGCTTGGGCTCGTATTGTTTTAGGTCTGGTCTAACCCAAAGGTCGTATTTATAATTAGTACATGCTGATGAAATGGTTCTGGCCTGTCAAACAGAAACACCCCACTGCAAACAGGAGTTTAGACTTGTTTGCATCTCTGTGGTTATTTTGAGCAACTAGTTCACGGAGAAGCATGGAGGAGTTGGGGTTCTCTGTTTAAAACTTAGAAACTGGTTTTACCTTTGGGAGAAATGCTGCCTGAGATGGGGGCTAATGCTGGAACAAGCGAACCCCTCCGCTTCTATCCAAACCCCTCCCAAACTGGGGGATTTGGCTGCAGCCTGGGTACCACAGTGCGTTCAGCGTGCAGGAGCAGAGGCTCGGGGCGGTGGGGAGCAGTGCAGGGCACCTCCCGGGGTCACGGAGCTGCTGAATGCTGAACCTGCCCCGAAATGCTGTCCCTGGGCTGCTGGGGGTCCATGGGGCCATGGGCAGGTGATGCTGCCCGGGGGACACTGCAGGGACCACGACGCTGCAGGGACTTGGACCCTGACCCCACTGACCGCCAGCCAAACCCCGGCTCCACCCCGACCTCTGCTCCTCTGAGATACCCGAATCAGGCCCTGCAGAGCTGCACTGCCTCCGTGTGCTGCCCAGACAGGCCCTAATTTCAGGGGTGAGTCCTGGGCAGGACAAACAATAAACCTTTATGTTGAGCGATATAAATCAAACTTTATTTTCCTACCTTCTCTAAATTAAATTTTTTTTTGGTGTTCCCGCCTTTGCTTTGAGATCTCAGGTCTGGCTTAGGAAACGCGTAAATTTATTTTAATTCTGCTCTTAAAACGTAACTGCTGGGAACTCCAGCAGCAGGGTCAGATGGTGCCTTTCCTCGCCGTGTTTGCTTTCTGGCATCCAGCTGACGGCTCCAGCTCAGCGTGCCCGGGAGGCTACGAGTCCCTGCTGGCCCCAGCTGGGCTGTTTGTTCTCCGCCGGGCACCGAGCCGGGGAGAAAGCCAGCGTTTTCCTCCGTTTCAAATTTCTCCGCTCTGCCTGACTTTTCTTCTTCGTCAAGAAGCAGCAGAGTCACGAGAAGGAGTACGAGGGAGGTAAGCCCCTACTTCCCAGCCGCCTGGGCTGGCTTCGCTTGCCTCCGGTGCTGGTTAATGTTTTTTGCAGCAGGGGCTGAAGGGTCGGAAGAGGAGGAGGAGGAGGAGGAGAGCATCGGAGGAAGGCAGGGGCCCCACAGCCATCGCGGCAGG